GACCCTAGACCCTAGGCCAGAAACGTCAGCCTTCCTGCTCCTCTGAAGCTGCTTGGCCTGCTGTGTTCATCCAGCTCCACATCTTGTTATCTCAGATTCTCCAGCATCTGCAGTTCCTACTATCTCTGAAACAATCACAGCAACAGTTGGGGCACAGCAACAAGTAAGAGGGAGAAAATCAGTCAAGATTATTGTTGCTAACTGCCACACAGTAAAGCTCTGTTGGAACTGCAGGGTTGACTCGGATGTCCTTTAAGCTTGAGAGGCCTTCACTGAACCTCCAGCTCACTTGAACTGGACGCCATAAAGCAATCATTGGTAATTGAAATGTACCTCCAATGAAGACAGGAAAAGTGGGAGGAAAAGGATGCAATGGGAAATATATATAAACAATATTCAGTACTGACAGTTGAAATCACACATGAACACTTTTTAATTCACAAAATATTGTCAGTAAATTACAGCAATAATGAAAATTGATCTGTTTTACTATGTGAAAGTTTATTTTTATGCTGTTAAGTGGATGTTCAGTGCATTTTAAAAGCAATGTCTGTATGATAACCGGTGATATCGTAACAGTTTTGTTTGACAGTATTGCACAGTAAACAAAAATACATTTTTATAACCCATTACAAATAGTAATAAAACTAGTTTACTGACTTTACATCTAATGAGGTCTTTGATCTTTTTGACTTGACTGTGTCAGTAAGAGTCGATTAAGGTCAAAATGAAATTCTGCACTTACTCCCTCTTAAAGCAGCAATGTAATGAAGTCAAATGATGATTCCAAATATGTAAGATGTTGCTTATAATTGAATCATTATGCAATTTCATTGCAGATTTAAGGAACATAATAGAAATATAAACTGATGCTTATAGTGGATAAGACGGTACACAAACTGGGAGCATGTTGAAGCTTCAGGGTAAGTTTGTGATGGTTCATCTAAAGTCAATAGCTGGAATACTGTATACAGTACCGATCTCTTTAAGGAAGGATATACTTTAGAAGTCCTGGGATGAAAGGGCTGTCCTACGAGGAGAAATTGTGTAGAATGGGTCTGTGCATTCTGGTGTTTAGAAAATAGGTAATTCCATTGAAATGTACAAAATTATTGCTGGGTTTGAAAGGGTAGGTGCTGACATACTTTTCCCCTGGCTGAAGAGCCTAGATCTGGAATCTTTTGAATTTTCTACCCCAGGTGCCTGAGGGTGCTCCATTATTGAAAATATCCAAGAATAGAATTCTAGGCACTAATGGATATGGTGACTGGGCAGGAAAGTGGGGTTGAGGTAGAAGATCAGCTGTGATTTTACAGCTTATTGACCCAGTTGTGACATGCAGTATGGCATTGGCTTATCCTTGTTTGTGTTTTTAAAAGTCTGTTATTTTCCAAGTATAAGAGAGAATTTCTTTATTGCATTCTGTCTGACCTATGTCTTGCAATTGCTTTACCTTACTTTCAGTGATAAGAGTTGTGCTAAATTATGTGAGGATGGATATTTGTGCACCAGCACTGAGTTTCACTGTACTGCATATCACGTTGTCCAAAACACAGGAGATTATGAAGGAAAGAACTTACACTTTATACATCATCCCTAATCACATGTCATAGCACTTTTATACCTAACAAAAGTACATTTTTGAAGTGCAGTCACTGCTGTAATGCAGATAATATAACAGATAATTTGCACAAAGTTAACTTCCACCAACATGAATATGATGAATGACCAGATAATCTGTGTTTAGTGATTTTCAATCTAGGATAAATAGTGGCCTGTACAATATAAGTGAGAAATATGCTGAAATGAAAAATGTGGTTGAGTCCACATTCAAGTCCTGTACATTGAGGAGCATAATCAAACCTATTAGACACCTTAGTACAACTGACATAGAAACATCTAGGGGACAAACCAATTAATCAATACAGCTCCTTCTCCACTTGATGAGGAGAAAGCAGCCTGTTTGGCCCACCCAGTTCTCTGGAATGAAACTAATTTCCTGCAATAATTCTGGTTTCTGTCTGCTACAAAATTTTTAACAAGCCAATTTTACCACATGGTTTATTTTTGATAATCAGAGCGATAATGTGCAGTTCAGCCACGAATAGGATTTCATTGTAGTGTTACATGCACCCGAACCTAGCCCTGCCCAATGATGGAACTTGCTGTAGGTCCTACCTATAGATAGAAGTATTTTCCTTGGCTCTACAAGTTCATTATCAGAGGCTGTCTCAGGTACTGGAGCTATTACTTTACTCAAAACATAACTATATTCCCACTACCCAATTAAAATATTTTACTTGGTTCTATCATACAGATAAGATCAAGATAACTACAGTGTTTAATAACTTGCCTCACTAATCACATTCTTCAACTTTCTGTAAGGTTTGAATCTAATAACAGAAGAAAAAAGCCATTGTCAAGAAAGATCATTTCTTCACCAATAGATTGTGCATTTTTCAATGTGAGAGAAATTGCTGTTTCACACAGCAATGGTTGAGGTCTGGATGCCTTCCCTGAGAGTGCAGTGGAGACAGGTTCAATCAAGGCATTTAAATGAAATTAGATTGTTATTTGAAAAGCAACAACATGCAGGGTTATGGGGAGAAGCCAAGAGAATAACCCCATACAAAGCTCACTTACAAAGTCACTGCAGATGTAATGGGCTGAATGATCTCCTTCTGCACTTTAGCAATTCTGTGATTATTTTGAACTTAACTCTGCCATCACAATGAACTTTTCCAACTATGATTCTTCCCTGGTGAGCAGTGTATTGCACTTAATTTTGAACTTCAAATTGAAGATTTTAAAAATCTGTTGTCTTCCTATTACATATTTCTCTTCGCTCCTTCATTTCATAAGCCAAATAACACACTATCGCAACATAACTTGTTTCATCTGATGTCTACTGCTCCCATAGATCTGGTTTCCTCATACCTACCAGTTGGCTGAAGTATAATAGAGGAGAGCAATGGAGGATGCAAATGGGAAGAAAATCAGAGTTGATGGAGGCACTGCTTCCTTTAAACTGGTATGTGTGATAGAACAGAACATTCTTTGGTTATACTAAAAGTTCTTCAAGTATGCACACTTCTTATTGCCACACTTGCTTCCTATGCAAAGATATTTTTGTACTTCTGCTTCAGTAATTTCTGCTTAGCTAACCATGATAATTTTATATTTGTGTACATTTTTATGTCAGTACTCCGTGACTCCATTGTCAGTTTTTAGTTACACTTTTCACCTCAACATTTTTATCTATGAATTCTTATGTCCACATTTAACATAGGCTTTGCACGTGCAAACAGAGTAATCAGTTGGCATAACCCAACATTGGTTGTTCAATCATGACCATTGAACTATCACAAATTTCGATGCTTTCTGACTTTTTCCTCAGTAATGATCAAAATTAGGAAGTAAATAACTTCTTAAAATATTAACACTCTGTGCAATAAATAAATATATCAATTGAGTTTTCTTTTGTGCCCTTTTAAATTGTCTTTGTTAAAGATTTCACTCACAATTCTTAGATCCTGACAGAAACTTGAGCTTGGAGGTGACATTTTTATCTACATGTGTAACACTTAGCTGAATTTGGATTGTGTAATCTGAACATATGAATGTTAACTTCCCAGAATGCATTAGTGCCATGTGATCAGCTCTGCTGACATTTTTTCTTCAGCTTCTTTACCCTGTTGTGCAGAGAATGTACTTCAAATAATTTTGAAAAAACAGGAGCAACTTTTTTTCAAATTCAAATTTTAACATCTGCCATGGTGGGTTTCAAACCAATGTCCCCAGAAAATTTGCCTGGGGTTCTGGATCACTGGTCCAGTGACATTACCACTAGGCCACTGCTCCAAATCCACTTACCCTTTTCTTGCCACAGTATATAAACAAATGTAACCTTCAAAATCAGTGTCCACCTGTCCTGCAATTTAACGTTTGAATCTCTCTAATCAGGTTCTACGCTGCTAAATCACAAACAGCACTAGTCAAAGTTATCTTGGTGCACTGTTGTCATCTAATATGGTCTGAAAGGATGCCCAAGAATTAGTGGAATAAGGAAACAGGTGAGGGATGTATTAAGGAAAGGTTAATTGGCTGTAAATCAGTTGTATAAAAATGGGGAGGTAATAAACAGTGGGGCGAGCGGCTTACGGAGTGTGGTTAACTGAAATAAAGTTCTCACTGGAAGTGTGGACTTGGGACTCTGTTCAAAAACATTTATCTTATAATACACTATTACTCTTCATCCGTCAGAACATCTCTTCAACCTTTGAAGTAGATGACCTACTTCAAGTTCAGTGCCACTACGCTTACTTGCTCCACTTCATTAACTGTTGGTTCTCTTTCTATTTTTTAACCCTTTTGATAATATAACCTGAAGACATGGTTGAAGTTCCACATGGATGCTAAGGAAACCAACTTTACCTCTCCAACATTTCTGATATCAGACTACTACTTTAACATCAGACCTGTATGGTCTGCAACATCCCCCAGTTAGTTACTGGCACATTCCCACCACCATGTGCTGTCTCCAGCCAAATCAGCCTGTTTGTCCAATTTGATTCAATGATCTGTTTCTGAACCCAAATGCACTCTGACAAAGAGCAAATCCAGCTCCATTATTATTGCAAATCTCCAACCCCAGCTCAGGCAAGCTGCTGTAAGTATTTGTAACTTATAGATTTGAATGTTCCAATGGTTTTTCAGCTGTAGTTTGAGAAGAAACTTGGGCTTAACTCCTGCTTGACAAAACCAGGGCAGAGTCCAGCTCATTCTAGGTGCATGTTATTGATTGGACTCCCAAATGGAATCTCTAGTACAAAGCATGGAATAAGAAAGATAAATACATATCTAAGACCAAACAAGCATGATTCTAAATAAAGTAACAGATCAATCAGACAGGAAATGCAAAGTAAAATCTACATAACATGAAGTATAAAAGGATTCTGTAGTTCAGTGGAGTTAATGAAAGCAGGAATAGAAACTTTCCAAAATGGTGGTCCAATTACTGGAATAAAGTATATCCACACACGTAAAGTAAGGCAATTTCTGCACTTATCAGCAAATTTTAGGTCAGTACCATGAAAAATTCAAAAAAAGGGCCGAAGCAGAAGATTACGGTAGGAATTTAATATTCTGAATAATTACCGCTTCCAGGTGTTCATTAGAAAAGGCATCAGCAATATGATCTGCCCAGGTAATGATAACTCAATGACTTCAATGAAAATATATTGGACATCCTCAGTAAGCTCAAAAGACTCAAAACAAATAAATCCCCCAGAGACAGATGCTGTTTATCACTGAATAATAAGAGAAGGGATTGTAATAGCAAGGCATTGATTACGATTATGTGGAATTTGTTGATTACAAGGAAGACTCTGCTGATTGGAAACAGACCAATCTGATACTCACTGCCACAGTAATAAAGACGATGAGGGATATGAGGGGAGATTGGGATGGGGAGGGGAGATTGGGATGGGGAGGGAGGTAATGGGATTGAAGAATGAGGTGGGAGAATGGTGCAGAGGTGTGGGCAGGAATGGGGGGGTGGGGGGTGGGGGGGAAGAGAGAGGGCAGTTCTACTTGGTAAACATTCTTTACACCTTTGAGAAGCGACTTCCCATGTGGACTATTCAAACTCTAGTCATTATGTATAAAGACTTTCTAAATACTTTTGACAAATTCAGGGTAATCTTGGAAATGGATGAAAAAAAATTGATCCATAGGAAGAAAATGGCCATAAATAATGCTAATTCAGCTAAAATGAAGATAAAGATTTATACTCCTTGTCGACTTGATTCTCAACATGTTCAACCAAAATACAGCAGCAATCAGTAAATCTAATAGAAGTCTTACTATGTAGGCAAAGGAGTATCATAAACATGAGACAAAGCCATGCTCAATAAGTAAAGCTTTCTCCACAAACGATGAAGTACTGTGATAACAAGGTGTAGAGCTGGATGAACACAGCAGGCCGAGCAGGAAAGCTGACGTTTCGGGCCTAGACCCTTCTTCAGAAATGGGGGAGGGGAAGGGAGTTCTGAAATAAATAGGGAGAGAGGGGCAGGCGGATAGAAGATGAATAAAGGAGAAGATAGGTGGAGAGGAGACAGACAGGTCAAAGAGGCTGGCGTGGAGTCAGTAAAGGTGAGTATAGGTGGGGAGTTAGGGAGGGGATAGGTCAGTCCAGGGAGGACGGACAGGTTAAGGGGACGGATGAGACTAGTAGGTAGGAGGTGGGGGTGGGGCTTGAGGTGGGAGGAGGGGATAGGTGGGAGGAAGGACAGGTTAGGGAGGCATGGACAAGCTGGGCTGGTTTTGGGATGCGATTGGGGGAGGGGAGATTTTGAAGCTTGTGAAGTCCACATTGATACCATTGGGCTGCAGGGTTCCCAAGCGAAATATGAGGTGCTGTTCTTGCAACCTTCGGGTGGCATCGTTGTGGCGCTGCAGGAGGCCCAGGATGGACATGTCGTCGAAGGAATGGGAGGGGGAGTTGAAATGGTTCGCGACTGGGAGGTGCAGTTGTTTAGTGTGAACCGAGCATAGGTGTTCTGCAAAGCGGTCCCCAAGCCTCCGCTTAGTTTCCCCGATGTAGAGGAGGCCACAACAGGAACAGCGGATACAGTATACCACATTAGCAGATGTGCAGGTGAACATCTGCTTGATGTGAAAGGTCTTCTTGGGGCCTGGGATGGGGTTGAGGGGGGAAGTGTAGCACTTCTGCGGTTGCAGGGAAAAGTGCCGGGTGTGATGGGGCTGGAGGGGAGTGTGGAGCGGACAAGGGAGTCCCAGAGAGAGTGGTCCCTCCGGAAAACAGATAAGGGTGGGGAGGGAAAAATGTCTTTGGTGGTGGGGTCGGATTGCAGATGGTGGAAGTGTTAGAGGATGATGCATTGGATCCGGAGGTTGGTGGGGTGGTACGTGAGGACAAGGGGGATTCTGTTTTGGTTGTTATTGCGGGGAGGGGGTGTGAGGGATGAGTTGCGGGAAATGCGGGAGACGTGGTCGAGGGCGTTCTCAACCACTGAGCCGGGGTGGGGGGATGTTGCGGTCCTTGAAAAACGAGGACATCTGAGTTGTTTGGGAGTGGAATGCCTCGTCTCGGGAGCAGATGCGGCGGAGGCAAAGGAATTGGGAATAGGGGATGGCATTTTTGCAGGAAGGTGGGTGGGAGGAGGTGTATTCTAGGTAGCTGTGGGAGTCGGTGGGCTTGAAATGGATATCGGTTTCTAGGTGGTTGCCAGAGATGGAAACAGAGAGATCCAGGAAGGAGAGAGAGGTATCAGAGATGGTCCAGGTGAACTTAAGGTTGGGGTGGAAGGTGTTAGTGAAATGGATGAACTGTTTGAGATCCTCGTGGGAGCACAAGGCGGTGCCGATACAGTCACCGATGTAACGGAGGAAGAGATGGGGTTTAGGGCCAGTGTAGCTACAGAAGAGGGATTGTTTCACGTAACCTACAAAGAGGCAGGTATAGCTTGGGCCCATGCGGGTACCCATGGCCACCCCCTTTGTCTGTAGGAAGTGGGAGGGATTGAAGGAGAAGTTATTAAAGGTGAGGACGAGTTCGGCTCAGCGGATGAGGGTGTCAGTGGAGGGGGACTGGTCCGGCCTGCGGGACAGGAAGAAGCGGAGGGCCTTTAGGCCATCTGCATGGGGAATGCAGGTGTATAGGGTCTGGACGTACATGGTAAAGATGAGGTGTTGGGGATCAGGGAATTGGAAGTTTTGGAGAAGGTGGAGGGCGTGGGTGGTGTCACGGATGTAGGTGGGGAGTTGCTGGATGAAGTACTGTGCCTGGTTTTCATCAGTGGGACAAAAGAGAAACACTGAAGCATTAGAAACAGAGAAGAGCCACAACACCGAACTTGATTGCGAGATGAGGAAATACTGCAGAAATTTAGGCTGCTCAGCTTCCATAGATGGCATAGAATTGATAAATGGTAGAGAAAAGATAATATGGAAAATTATTTCAAGTTAAATTGTATAAGTATGACAAAGAAAACAGAAGTTCAAACC